CAAAAATTTGAAAGCATTATTTTAAAAGTTTAGAAACATAATCAATAAAAGCTTTGAAACTATTAATTTTTAAGTGGCCCAGCACTGACCAGTATAATGCTTTCATTCCAAATAGGTGGATATGGATACAGATTAGCTCAAATTACCTTAGTCTTAATTGATTTCATTAGTACACAGTAGGTCATTTGCTTCTTTTTACTAATACACGCTTGAGGGCATACATCTGGTTCCTCATGAATAAATAGTAGAGAGTACCTTTCTTCACCAATGCACAGATTGAAGAGTAGACCCATATTTATAGAAATTTTAGCATATATTAATTTATTAACATCAATTAAGTAAATACACAAGGGTGTCATTTTTAACCAACTAACATTTCTTGATTGTGTATTCTGCATTGGTCTGTATTAAGCATAATGGTATAGGTTAGAGTTCAGTAAACTATGACCTGTGGGCCAAGTGTAACCTACTTCCTATTTGTCTATACTTCATAAACTAAGAACACTTTTACATTTTTAAATAGTTGAATAATAACATTTCCTGACACATGACAATTAAATGAAATTTAAATTTCAGTGTATGTAAAGAAACTTTTATAGGACAATATCAACACTCATTTACTTACATATCGTCTGTGGCAGTCTCTGTGCTGCAATGGTGGAATGGAATAATTGGAACAGAGACCGTATATGGTGCTCTCAACTCTTTTCACTGCGTATCAACTGTCTACAAAATCACAGTTATAACTCAAAGGTGTTTTGCATGCCATGCGTGTTGCTTAAAATTATGTATTTAGTTACAGTGCATATCCATTTTATCAAAACAGAAGAAGAGAATGTGAACTTTGAGTGTTATTATTTTGAGGCAAAGGGAAGTGTGAATAAATTTGTTATCAAATTAGATGACAAAGCATTCTGTTTATTAAGTGATGACACTATAGCTGGTTAAAAGAACCATTACCAGACTCTATTAATTTGTTCTCATGCTACTGATAAAGACATGCCAAAAACTTAGAACAATAACAACAAAAAATTGGACTTACAGTTCCGCGTGGCTGGGGATGCCTCAGAAGCGGGCAGGAGGCAAAAGACACTTCTTACGTGGCCAGGGCAAAAGAAAAATGAGAGATGCAAAAGCGGAACCCCCGATAAACCAATCAGATCTTCTGAGACTTATTCACTATCATGAGAATTGCACAGACCCCATGATTCAATTATCTCCCCCTAGGTCCCTCCCATAACGCGTGGGAAATCTGGGAGATACAATTCAAGTTGAGATTTCGGTGGATACACAGCCAAACCATATCACAGACTAAGCAACCATCATTATATTCTCAATTCACGGGAAACCAATGGCCAAAAAAATGAGGAATTCTAAAATGAGATATCTTATCCTTGCAAAGTTTTTTTCCAAAAAAGAAAAAAGTGAAAATGAGGCTGCAACATAGCTTTTCAAGTACCTCCTTTGTTAATCAGTCAAGGAAAGCCACTCGCCAATGGCGAGTTAATTACATCATGTTTGATTGCAGGTGCTGAAGACATTTGTCCATAGAAAATAAGCTTATTTAAATTTTTAGCCTTTAGGCAAAAATAGTTGTTTGAATTGTTGAGGACTTCGGGAGGAGAATCAAAAAATTAAAGGAATACTTTTTCCTGGTTTTACTTGGTTCCTGATGAATTGTCTGATGCTATCAATACTGCTTAGTTGTTATTGTGTTGTCAAGAACTCAGTGCTAAGTTTGAAGTGACTGAAGCATTAGCCTCTGTGAATATCTACAAGGATATTTTCAAAGAAATTTAGAAAACTCAGATTCAATACAAACTGGAATGGAATCTGGTAAGATTTTAAAAGATTATTCATGTGTTATTCATTAGCAACTATTTTATGAAAAATATTTGACTCTATTATGTGTAACTGAACCACTAGTGTCAGTGATGAACTTTATTTGCTCTTGTGAACTTAAATATCCTGAGTTGTTCACCAAAGCATAGTTTGATGACTTGGCAGTGTTTTATTTTGTTTGTTTTTTCTCTTTCTGTGACATTTTGGCTCCAGAATGAGATTTTTTTTCTAAATGAGAAGATGTATCTTCAATTATGGCCAAATACTGAATGGCTCTGGAAATTAGATTTTACTGCCATCTTGATAATGTTTCTTAATGAATTTAACCTAAAATTACAAGACAGAACAGTCTTATATGTGAAAATCACACTATGGTAAAGTCATTTTGACAACGAACATTTTTGAATCACAAGTAACGTCACACTGCTTTATACACTTGCTGTGCTGCCAAAAGTTGAAACAAGAAGCAAGATCTCCATTCTCACACAAATTACAGTGGATGCATTGCTCAAACCTTAGTTGCATTAACAGTTTAAGCTTTGGTGCAAGTGCAAATGAAATTTATGTTTCAAAATCTAAATTTGTAATTGAGGAGGTTCAACTTAATTTTTAATTAGAAGGATTAATCTGTACTGACAGGCTAAAAGGGAAATATCAAAGAAAACCTAATAGAATTACATTGATATCTTCCAAATGATAAATGTATTCAATTAAAATCATGCTTGTGGGTTGATATCAATATCATCAGCATTTGACAATACCTATGTTTACGTAAAAAGACAGCTTCAAAGATGAAATACAGTCATGCATTACTTATTGATGGAAATATAGTTTGAGAAATGTATTCTTAAGCTATATCATCATTGTGCTAACTTTTTAGAGTGTACTTAACACAAATTGAAAGGTGTAACCTAAGCTCTATGCTCCTAAGGTACCACCCTGCATAGCATGTTACTGTATTGAATACACTAGGCAATTACAACACAATGGGAAAAATATGTATATCTAAATATATCTAAACATGGAGAAGATACAATAAAAATATGATATCATAATTTTATGGAAACACAATCATAAATGTGGTTCATTGTTAACCAAAACATTATTCTGTGACACATGACTGTACATAAAATCTAATTAAAAATGAACACTGAGATGAATATTTGTAGTCAATTAACTTTGACCTCCAAATAAACAAAATACTATCCCTCTAAATATTTCTTTTCTTCTCATCAGTAGATTTGAGTTAAGAAGTTTGTACTCAATTATTATTGTTACTGTTTTTAAATTTCATTAAAAACGGTAGAATTCCGTTGTCTCTCTTGTTTTATGAGTACTTATGTAATAACCTAAATTTTGACTCTTAGCCTACAAACCTTAAATATTTTCTATCTGATTCTTTATAGAAAGTTTCCTGATCCCTGATATAGAGTCCGGTTCTCTGAAAGATCACAGAATTTATATATAAAAGGATAAGTAACAATGAAAATTAGGGTTTTTAATATGACTTATGAGAAATATTGATAATAAAGAATGCTGGGAGAAATAAAGAAAGACTTCTCAGGGGAAGGAGATTTTTAACTGTGCCTTAAAAGATGCATAGGGCGGAGGCAGAAGAATAAAGCATGAAGGAAGCTATTTCATGCAGGGGACATGACATACACAAGAGACAAAATGTCAGAAACACAAAGGGTGTGTCTAAGGAACCATAAGTAGGCCAGTTTGACTAGATTGAAGACTTCATTTACAAGGCAAAGAAGGGAACTTGAGTGGGTAAAATTGTCAAAGCTCTTGAATGCCAGGCTAAGGTGTACAGTTTATTTTGTGGCACTTTGAAGATTTGCAATATTAAATGAACTACTCCTGTATGAAAATTTTTGTTTATCCTTCATAACTTAAAATACGTTCTCCTTGATATTTTGTCCAATTACTTCAGATAGAATGGAGATTAGGAAAAAGATTCAAAGATGAAGAAAGACCAACAAAAAGAACAGAGTTGAAGAATATTTGGCACTAGTTCATTCTGGTATTATATATCTCAAAAAAGCTGTAAAATAAAATATCTTACATTGAGAAGTTGAACTTAAAATTATATGCTATATTGATCACAGAAAGAAGTGAGAAATTCAATTTTTTAAACTTTCTCACGATTGTTAATATAAGCTGAATGTACCACACCAAGATGTCACTAATCAAAATAACACTACTTATTTTTAACCAGGTCATTTTTATTGACTCCTGCTTATAATCAACTGTTTTTTTAATTTTTAATTTTTCAAATCTTTTAATTTTTAAGAAAATAACCAGCCAGGAATCATTTCATTTCTACTGTGGAAGAATTATGAATTATCTTTAATGTAAATTAAGGTTTCACATGATTTGGATATAAAGTATCTTTGAGAAGCGAAATAATCATACTAACTGCTTGCCTGAACCTGGGACACAGAGGTTGCAGTGAGCCGAGATCATTCCACTGGACTCCAGCCCGGGAAACAGAGGGAGACTACCTCAAAAAAACATCTTACTAACTGCTGAATCTTTTATATTAACTAAGTTTAATTCTCACGTTGCCAATTGTTTTTATTGCTCAAATAATATTCGAGCCGTTTTTTCAAAATCATTTGTAATGACTGAAAGATGAAGGTCTCCAATGTCAGGTAAGTAAAATTATATCAATCTAAACTAGAGCACTTACCTTCTTCAGAAAAATACGTTAATGGCTTAATCATTGTCCACTTTGACCATAGATTTGAGAAAATAAATTCACCTGCAATTTTTCTCTCTCTCGCCTTCAATGTTGCTAGCAAATCTGCCTAGCAGCTACTCATCAGCCTTACACCTTAAGCATATATCCTGATCTTACTCTTCGGGCGGAGGTTTTACCATCTTGACATTGGGTAGCAGCGCTTCCCTGAGGCTACAGATTAAGTCACCAACTCACTCCCTCCACTCTCACCTTGGCAGAGCAGGCCTACAGGTCATTCCCATTCCACTGGTATATTCATTCTGATCTGTAACAGTAACAAGTCCTGGATGAAAAGATCATTGAAAAAACAAAGGAGAAATATTTCAAAATAGTTGTCGTTTACTTTCCATAGACTATCAGAGAGTTTGTATCTTTGAGACAGAACCCACACAGACTCAGTTTCTCTATGCAGTCCTTGTTTCCTGCCATTTTAATTTTAAATGAAAATGAGAGATCTGAGTACACTGAAAAGTAACATCATCATCTGGAAAGTTATACATAATGAAAATGCAATGACAAATACACATCTTTCGGTCCCTATTCCAGCTCTCCTTAACAACTTTGCTTTCTCGAATGGGAATTCATGAGCTGTAATACTTAAGGAGATTTTCATCTGTAGGTTTTAGGATTTTCTTATCGGCCATATTCACCATCCATCCTGGAGCAAGACCAAAGAAAATCTGACTTGGATCCTTCCTCATACAGAGCATTTTGAAGAGTTCATCTTTAGTGATATCGGGTAAGATGTAGCCGTACTTCCTGGCAAGTTCAAGTTGCGCTTCAGGAAATTTGGAAGGATCTGCCCGGTACCCACGATTCTTTGCATCGGTGTAATACGGTACCAGCTCTTCTGGTGGAAGCATTCTTTTTGGAATGGGTTGTCCACGAAGAAAGAATGGAACTGGTTTGCATACAATGTCCAGACTTCTTGGATCATAGAAAGCTGTAGTAACACCACCACCATTTTTTTCAATTGTAGCAGTAGCTAGTTCTGAAGCCAACTGAACTTCAATATTAACTTTTGCTGTAAAGGTGTCTGCACCCTCCTCGACCAGCTGGACACCATAATCTCTTTTAAGTGGCTGGATGGTCACACCTCTCCCATTGACAAGCTGTGTTAATAGGTTGAGTAGGATCAACACGACCCAAATCAATAAGACACTGCAGTCTATTGAGACTCAAAGGCTTATACTGGCATCTGAAGCTATGTCCTTCGTTAAACCCGTATTTTGGGATTCAGATGTAAAATGGAGTCTGGCCTCCCTCAAAGCCCAGGTGAGGCCGGGTTCCTCTTTGTATTTCTCCTTTGTGGGCTCTGCCACATTTTCTACCTCTTCTCCGACCTCTCGGTCGCCTCTCCGGTTTCCTGGAGCTGGGATTCGGCTTTAAGTTCGCCAGGCTCACACGCGGCAGGTCCCGGAGTAAGTCCAGGGCCCGGGACCTGCCGCCTAGCAAACGACCGGCCATAACTCCGAGATCCTGGAACTTTCAAGGGCGCCCTGAGTCGCTGGGAGGCCAGGTGGTCTCGCGGGCTGCTTTACTGTCCTATAATCAACTCTTAATTCAAATTCAAGCTTTTGTCCTCAGTCTGTGATACAGAAACTTTGGGAAAAAAAGAGGTGGTGGTGGAAGGGGAAGAATCGACAAACTGATAAGCTCATTTACCTTCTAATGCTTTGGGCATGATATAATATCAAGATGGTTTGGACGTTCACTTTTGAGTAGCTGTCCCCATGAAGGATGAGAAGATGAGTTCAGCTGCTTCCACATCCCCAATTGCCTTTATCTTTGAGAGGTTTATCAAAAGCTGTTTTTAAAACTGCAACAGCTGTGTCCCAATCTGTGCACAGAATGCTTCGCTATTATCCACTCATCTAATTATTAATTGAAAAGACTGAATCTATATCTTTCTAATTTGACCCAATAAAAGGGCATCCAGGTTATGTGAAAATTTACCATAAAACTAAATGAAATCTTAAATTTTGCCTATATTATTTTGTTTTAAACATGGGCTAAACTTATGTGATGAACATATTTGAATATAGGTCATTATCTGAGCTAAATGAAATACATAAAATGAAGTAAGTAGGTTATCTGGTGAAAAAGTCATAGGAATAAGCTATAATGGATGAGCTAGGCAAGCATATCCCAAATGATGTCTCAGAATACTACAGAGCCAGAAAATTGGAGACCAGCTAGCTAAGACACTGTAAATGAAAATATTATTTGTCATTAGTGAACACTATATTTACTTTTATTGCATCTTGAATTTGCAGTGCAAACGAGTATATAAAAGTAGGACCTGGGGTTAAAACCATTTTGCTACTCCTCTAAACAAGGAAAACATATTTTTAATAAGGAAAATAATAGGGAAATATTAAGCCATTGTTTTTAAGTAAGTCTCTATGATATTTGAGTGTGTGGCTCAAAATTCGACCTCAAAGCTTGTTTATGAAAATTGACACTGTGTAAAATTTAAAATGTTTACATCTTATCTTGTGTAGAGCTATTTATTTAGGTAAAATATAATGTACATTTTAAATTGACATTATTTTTTAAATATTACAATCTCTCTTGTCTTGAGAGAAAGGTGTTGAATAGGGGACTAAGCTTATCAGTGACCTTTTTTGCTAGGACAGAGGGAGGATGGTCTGTTTTCTGGAACCATGGTTACCATGTGAAGGAAGAAATCATCCAGATTTGTGAATTGAGAAATTGGTAAGATAGAATGGACATCAAAATTAGAATTCAGACTCACTTTCAAAACCAGACTATGAAGCCAGAAAATTGGACACCCAATAGCAAAGGTTATAAATACACAGAGCCTTGATGATCTTGGGCAAATAAATGCTTAAAACTTTCCTGAAACTATGTTTCTCAGTGGTTTCTTACTTGATTCCTAGGTCAGGGATAAGATAGACATATTGGAACAGAGGTCAAACATCAGAGCTGAATGAAATACATAAAATGAAGTAAGTAGGTTTTCTGGTGAAGACGAAAAAGGAACAAGACTAACCTGTAATGTGTGAGCTAGGCAAGCATATCCCAAAGGGTGTTTCTTAGAATATTACTTTAGGATATTAATAAATGTTTATACATACATACATACATACATACACACACACCCCTAAATCCTCTGTGGTCAAATTGTGTGTTTCAAATTTATTTGACCATGGAAACCTTTCTTTTAATGGAATATTTTGTGTATGAACAGTAGTTGACAAAACATGCCTTGAAATTTAGATAATTTTGACTCATGCTGTAATCCTAACACTTTGAGAGGCTTGGGCAGGAGGATTGCTTGAGGCCAAGAGTTTAAGGCAAGCCTTGGAAACATAGTGAGACCCTGTCTCTATAAAAAGTTAAAAAAGGATAGTTAGGCGTAGTGTTGCATGCCTGTAGTCCTAGCTTCTTTGGAGGCTGAGCTAGGAAGATCACTTGATCCCAGGAGGCTGAGGCTGCAGCTGTGATCACAGCACTACCTTGCAGCATGAGTGACCAAGAAAAAAAAAAAAANCACCACCATGCCCAGCTAATTTTTTTTGTATTTTTAGTAGAAGAGGGGTTTCACCAGTTGGCCAGGATGCTCTTGATTTCCTGACCTCCTGATCCACCTGCCTCAGCCTCTCAACGTGCTGGAATGATAAGCATGAGCCACCAGTGCTTGGCCGATTTGCATTTTTAGTAATAATACTGAGTATTTCTCTATGGGATTATTGATGATTTGTATATCTTCTTTGAAGAAACATCCATTCAGATCCTTTAGCTACTCTAAAATTTGGCTATTTGCCTTTAAATCATTGAGTTGTAAGAGTTTTTCATATATTTTGGATTTAAGCTCCTTATCAGATACATGATTTGCAAGTATTTTCTTCATTCTGTAGTTGCTTTTTTATTTTTTGTGGTCTTTTGAAGTACACAAGATTTTCATATTAATTAAGTTAAATTTATCTTTTATTGCTTGTATTTTTTGTTCCAAGAAACCATTGCCTAAGCCAAGAAATGAAGATTTACTCCAATATTTTAAGAGTTTTATAGGTTTAGCTGTTAAATTTATATGCATGGCCCATTTGTATTTAATTTTTGGATATGATATAAAAAAGAGGTTCAACTTCACCATCATGCATGTGAATATCCAGTTGTCCTGGGACTATCTGTTAAAATACTATTCTTAGCTAGGTGTAGTGTTGCATGCCTGTAGTCCTAGCTTCTTTGGAGGCTGAGCTAGGAAGATCACTTGAGTCCAGGAGGCTGAGTCTGCAGCTGTGATCACAGCACTACCTTGCAGCATGAGTGACCAAAAAAAAAAAAAAAAGACGAAGAAAAGAAAAAAGAAAAATTTGTACACCTGAATTCATTTCATGCTGACAATAAAATTCTTGAGGTGGCAGTTGAGTTTTAAGTGTGCCCGTTCCTGGAATATCATGAGTAGTCAATAACATTTGTTGACCCTTAGGGTTTGGCCTAGTAAACTAGTTAAACCTGCATTAATTTATCTTTTCAAATAAGAATACTGAAGCAGAAAAAATTTGTAAGCTATGTGCTCAAGTGTCTGGGGCATTATATGCAGATCTTTTTGATGCCAACCAGAAATGCTGTTGTGCTGTTCTGGGGCCATCATCAACATAGATTACAATGTGCTTGGCACTCTTGGACCCAGCTCCAGGGACCATTAAGTGAATTATAAGTCCCTTGAAGTGGCCTAACACTATGTTTAAGCAAAAACTGTGCACTGTCCATTCTCTCGGAGAAGGGTATCCCTGCCTCTCTGGCCTCTAATAGCCACATATCTTTAGCAGAGTTAGATCAATCAGAGGGAATCTCTGTGGATATTTATCCTAGTTTGGGCAGCCATGAAAGTTTAGTGGTGGGTAATGGGGACTTAAGGAGAAGTGATTATTTCTGGGACATCCTAGGATCTTTGTTGGTTTGCATTATCTCTAAGGGGCACAGGGATGTAGTGAAGCAGGTACCTTTTGATTTTTCCCAGAGCAGTGCTTCTCAAGCTTTAATATGCATCTGAATTATCTGGGGAGTAAAACTGTATATTCTGATTTGGAAATTCAGAGGTGGGGCCTTTTTGTTTTTAGTAAACTTTGAGATGACACCAGTGTTGCTGATCCACATGTAAACTTTTGAAAACACACATCCAGAGGCAGGCCCTTCCCTCCACTTGAAATGTATAATTTTTAAAGTATCTCTTACTATTATTGCTGAGACCAAATTTTCCTTCCTGTGTTGTGGAGCCCATTACTGGTCAAGGCCTGCTTTCCTGAGATCATCATAAAACTTCATTGTAGCAAAGTTTTGGGATAACAAAGGTGCTTTATAAAGTTACTACTAGATTGTTAATGTGACTTTGGAGGCTGGATTTAAAATAATAGAAAATTCTTTTGTAAAAAAAATTAAGGAAAACTTTGATACAGATAATGTATTTGAGAAATGGAATAGCTACATTTTAAACTAAAAAACAAATTTTAATTCATTGATAATTGATCATTTATTATTTTGGGGAACAAGAACTCAAGGATGACTAAGATAGCCGTGTTCTAGAAAACACTATCTAGTAGAGATAAAAGATAAGTAAACAGATAATTGTAAAGCAGTTAAATTACTATAAGCCAATATTGCTATGTACAAAATACTGTGGGTACAGAAAAAGAAGGTGCAACTAATTCTGTGTGGGGCAGTCACAGAGGGCTTCACAGGGGAAGAATGAGAGGACAAGGTGATGGAAGCAATTTTAGGCAACACTAAAGCCAAAAATACCAGTAAAAAAAAGTGCAAGTGTATTTGGAGCATCACATGTCATAACATGTAAAAGTCAAGTTTGGGACTGTGATAGAGGAAATGTGGATAAAGATGAGGTTGGAGAGGAAATATAGGCTCGTATGTAGAAGGGCTTTGCATATTATGCCAAGGAAAATTAAAGTTATCCAATTGGCAAGATAGAGTCCTTAGAAGTCATTATCTATGAGGAGATACAATTAGATGTGTGTAATAGAAGGCAACCCTGGTGAAAGAGATAGGGAAGGAATTGGCAACTTCGGTGCACAGCATGGGGAGAGATTGGGAGTAAGAGGAAGCACGTTAAAAAATTATAATAAGGATGATGAGGACTAAGGCAATGAACATCCGTAGGACGGAGAGGAAGAAAAACAGATTTCTATTCAAGGAAGAAGGAAGAATTCAGAACTGAGGACGGAGCGATAAAATGAAACATTCTAACTACTTGGTGGAAATGATATTATTCATTAGATCTGGCAGTAACTATTAGGTTGGTGCAAAAGTAATTGGTTTTTTTTTTGCCATAAAAGTGTTACAGCGCATTTTAAAAACATGCACTTGTTTTTAAAATTTAGGTTGCATTTTTTTTGTGTGTGACCAAGAGCATAAATGTAGATTCACTTGTCCTTTCAGCCCTCTACACATGGACACTGGCTGTATCCAGGGAAACTGGTTGGGTC